CTTTCCTCGGCAAGGCTTAGACTTGATGTTGCTTAGCTTTTCCCTCCCTCTCCTTCCGGTACATTTGCATGCATCTGCATAAATACGATTAAATATACCTTTTCGACCCTTCCTATTTCTCTTCTCTCTCCTGCCTTCTCTTTTGCTGAATGCATTAGATGGACATTTCCCGAAATTTAAATATCCAATATGGTGTCTTTAAGTTGTACAATATTATAATATGAGATACATCACCAAATGTTCCTTCGGACCATTCTTTATCCTTCTTCCATTCTTTTATCCTTTAACTTATATGTAAGTGAATATAAAAAAGCGCAAAGTCGCGAGAAAATATGGAAACAATCACGTATGTGACATATATTGTGTTAATTAGAAAGCTCTTTCGGAATTTCGCCTTTTATTAACCTGATAATATTATTCGATCCGACTGATAATATCCAATCCAATCCATCCAATGATATTTAAGCATTTAAGATACAAACGATGGATAATAGCGAGCCTTTCTTGGCACATTTTGGCCCCGGGCGAAAATCTAATTGAAATAATGACACGAGGGTGTAACGAGCAACGCGGGAAATCGCCTAGCGTCCAGGTTACGGCGGAGTTTGCCACTCCGTTCACGCCGTGGTCTTTAAACGGTACCACACGTTATCGGAATTTCTTGAAGTCTCTGGTTAGAAGCTATATACCTACATTAGGATGGCCTCAGCTTGGAATGTCGAGCATGCTCGAAATACCTAAAATATTAAAGCGTAACACTGCCGTCGCTGAAAGTTTCGGCATTACCGACGTACAACAGCGGGGAAAGGGGCTAAATTGCGCGCGCACCCGAGGTCTGATTGAATATTATTTTCACTCACCGCAGTCGCTTATGTGGCCTGAATGACAATTCGCAAGTGACGTACCACTAGTTATTTTTTATCAATTATCGAATGAGTGCAAAAATGCGCGCCCGACTCTAATAGATGTCATTAGGAGAGTCGTATGATAGCGCCATTGATTGTTCTGTGAACGTATTGCACATTGTTGGAAAAGTGACATATTTAATTATTATTTGAGCGAAAGATTTATATGTCTCGACTGGAGGATAGAGGAGACCACATCGGTAGATCGTGTCGGTTATCCTCTCTGGCGCGATGAAGGTGTCGTTAAGGGTAATCACGAGTGAGGGAAGAGAGTATCCCACCCGGGACAATTAATCGGTAAAAGCCGCGAGGGAATCACCGAACTATCGCGGTGGCAGGCTCGTTTCGAGTTGTCGCGATGTCACGACAAGGTCGAAGCTACCTGCCTTGATTTAGCCTATCGCCGCTTGAGCGCCGTTTCAAAAGTCATTCGCAGCTACCCGCGGTTAATGACTTCCCTGAAAAGTCCGTGACTGTCAAACGAGCGGACGAGCAAGCGCGTGTCGCGACGAGAAGACCTGGGCCACGAACTCGGTGGAAAGAAAGAAAATAACACTTTTATCGTTGCGGCCGAGAGATGTCTTTAATCCGCGAAACGATCCCTTATAATTTGTGCCACCGGTTACGGCTGTATTTCGGTTAAAGCACCGTTGACCGTAAAAGTTATACGAGAAAAGATAAAGATGTTATCATAACGTGACCTCCGCGCGGACGTGAGCGGGAGGAGTACGACGGCGACGGCGACGGCGACGGCAACGGCGACGGCGACAAAGACGACGGGGACGACGACGAGGAGGTAAAGGACGAAAATGACGAGCAGAACGGGAAGTCGGCGGCGGGACGACGGCGTCGTGAGATTACGCTTTTACGAATTTGCCTCTTATACACTACAAACTGGTTTACGGCTCTCTTCGGCTCCCTACGACGTCGGCAACGACGAACGTATGCTCGCGGGGTGGAAACGACGAATTAACTTGAGAACCCGAACGATCGTAGCTGCTTGATCTTGGCTTTTATTTCCGCGTGAGCGGAGGATTTCTACTCGAGAATATTCAGCCCGCTGTGTGTAAGTTTTAAAGGGTAATTTCGTACAGAAATCGACCAACGAAACTGTCCTCGTTTACTGACTTTCGCTCTCTCAGACGGTAGGAGACTTTCTTCCAGAAGTCTCGCGTTATTTACGGATCATCGAAGGCGCCACCCTTTGCGGCATGGTGGAACACTGACAAGTAAAGGTACCCAACTGTCACTCATCGATTTTGATGAAACTTTGCCCACTTATAGAGCTATGGAAAATAATCGACACGTATTTTTTTTATCTGCGGAGAAGCAGTTTTAAGGGTGGAGGAAACTACCCCTTATTTATATAGAGTGTTTTCGCGTTAAAAGCGCTACCTTGTTGTCTACTCGAAAGGCTGAAAGGTTTCATGGGATTTTTCATGGGGGTCGCTCAATTCGAATCTTACGTGAAAATTCAAAAATACAAAATGGCGGATGGCAAATATGGCGTCTATGGCGTCGTGAGTGGGACCATTTTTTCCATGTAAATTAAAATGATGTCGACGAAAATTACGATTACAGAAAGATAGATTACGCAATAGCGCATTTTCCAAATGCAGACAGAATAACTGTATGCTTATTGGATATCAAGCATCGCACGTCGCATTATCGTGCTGTGGTCTGCCAGAAACTTAAGTTTGAAATATATAAAGTAACTATTAAAGTAATTATTAAATCAATTACTAGTTATCAAACAAATGTAACTAAGTCAAATTACAGTTATAGATAAAAAAAACAGAACGAAGTTATAGTTACCAAAAAAAAATAACTGTAACTGTAATCTCGTTACGAGTAACGAGTTACTTCCCAACCCTGGTAATACCGCATTAATCAGATCACCCTGGTCCCGCTCCTGCGGGATCGATAGATCGATGATCTCGAAGAAGATAACTGCGGTCTACAAGACGAAACGTACGTCCCTCGTGACAACGGAGAAAAACAGAGCGCGACGAAAGAGTCCCACACGGGCTATCGAGTGGAGTTGACGTGTGTCGATTAAGACCGCGAAGTTACGACATTGTAGACGACAAGAGACAGAATCTGTAGATAGTCTGATCAAGCCATTCTATCTCCTTACGCGTTCATGGCTTCTTTCGTGAATGTGTGGCAAGAACATTGTGCAACTTCGCGCTTTTAATCGACGACACACGTCAGTTCGGCTCGATTGCCTGTGTGCGATTCTCTTGTCACACTCTGTTTTCCGCAGACACTACACAACACTATAATTGATTGCATTTGAAGAGTCGACCGTAAGGACTAAAGAGAACCAATCGAAAGTAAAACAAACGGGTGTCTCGAATTACATTTATTTACCGTGTCTTCGCCGATGATCAGAAAACCGTTAGTTAAGCTTAAGCACGGCAGCCAACCCGTTAAACTGCTACACGCCTGACACGAAAGTTAGAGTGCAAGGAGCAAACCAGAGAAAAAAGTAAAACCAAGAAAGAGGAGTGAACCGAAAGTTTCATCTGGAACACCTAACGAAAGCCCATGTTTCGCGCCTTCCTCATTGTTCTCATCGCCGTTGCTTTCGTCGTCGTCGTCGTCGTCGTCGTCGTCGTCGTCGTCGTTCGTCGCACAAGCGCCATTGGGACGTCGACTCGAGTAACGGAGAACTTAATAAAGCATCGGACCCTCGAGGCCCGCGCGGCGCGTTGCGCGACGTAGGCAAATAATAACACTTTTACGAGGACGCCCATTCGGCTCTCTTGACATCGGAGAGCACCGGCAACGTGGGTGTGCCCGCGGCGGGTTCCCGTTCGACTAACTCGCCTTCTCCGGGACATTGTTGTGCATTCTTCGGACATTGGCCGCGACGCGATGCCCCTGGGATCGCGACTGGAACAATTCTACGACGGAAGCTCATGTTACAGGCGCGTTGAGCGACAAAGGTGCGCGTTGCCCCATGTCGACTGCACGGTAGCGCGTTTCTTATTGGCGGATCGTCCGGAAGAACAAAATTATGTAAGAAAATAACTATATTAGGAGGTTAAATTAGTTCTGGTCCCTAGCAATAGGTGGCTTTAGTAACAAGTTAATGCTTAGTATGAATATTGGAATCTGGCAACACATTGAAAGATTTAGCATTTCTCTATGACATGTAACAGCTTGCGCATCGCAGCTACATCGTTTTCGATGTACATTTATCTTCAGCTTGCAAATCGCTCTCATTTGCAGAGTTGATGTTGAGTAGAGTTTTTCGGTTGATGCTATTGTTTTGTTACATCATTTTTTTTTTAGAAGTTTAGTAGAACAGTTTTGTAGAGTTTTATTTATAATATTCAATAGAGGAATTTATTGTTAGAGATATAAATTTTACTTGTACAAACTTATTACTTGTATAACGAAAATAATCAATTACATTGTCCAAAGATACACGCTCAGGTGCGGTACGATGCATAGTACTAAAAGTGTAAACATTGCTGTTTATATCACTTTGTTTTGTAAACTAGTGTTGTAGAGTTTTATTATAGTTATAAATTTTACTTGTAAAATTTTATGTTACATATATAAAAAAGATACATATTGAAAAAAAATAATTTGAAATTTCTAAAAATAACACAATACATGTTGCGCGTGTATTTGGCGCCTCTTTTTACCTTTTTGTGCAAAAAGGTAAGTTTTTCACAATGTTATAGGCTCTCTGAGACACGTCCCGGCGGGACAAGGTCGCGCGACTTTGAAAACAACATGTTCATAAGTACGCGATTGCCGCGACCGTTTCCATTATTGTTTACGCCGCGGCGGCGAACGGATCGGCGGATCGCCGTGCGTAATAATTTCCGAATTTTCACGCTCGATCACAGTGTACGCGCGCGTGTAACGTGTAATATTCGTGCGTGTGTGTGCGTGCGTGTGTGTGCGTGACGATCCGGAGCATCTTGAGCAATAGCAGTGCTTCATGGTTCTTTAAAGGTAAACTTATATTGGTTAACTTGCTTAAGTTGAAGAAGCTAATTTGTAGTCTCGAGTCTTTGTATTCTTGATGCGGGGCGCATTTGTCGCTGTCATACTAATGAGGAAACTCGTTTTTTCTTACAGATCTGCTGGAATTTGCAGCCACGCGATAGCTGTGGTGGTGGTGGATCGGCGCAGTTTCGACGGACGCCGATGTCGCACCGGAGGATCCGGTTCGGGCCGAGCAGAGTCGGCTTGAAGGTGAGATTCACCGATCGTTTGTTCTTGATCGTTTGGTCATTTCTTCTTGATTTATTGCGATCGAAAACCGAGCGATTGGAAGAAAAGCCGTTGAATTACAATGGCAAACGGTCAACGTTTGTATCTGCGCGCGCGCTTCCGCGAATTGAACTCAACCTAATCTAACTTTTTAACCCAACGGTTTAACTAACAAAACTATATTTTTTGTTACAGATCCGTAGCAGAACGCGGCTGACTCTGTCTGCTGTGTATCGGTGAGTCAGAGAAAAAAAGACATTTTTATGGTGACGGGTGTTTGCGAGATCTCGAGAAAATCAATGCGATTTAATTATACTTTTTTCACACGTTGCTCGAAATAATCAGGAGATCGTGTCTTTCAATAACCGTATTACACAACGGAATTTTTAAGATATAATATATAATTCTCTCTTTTATATTTACTCTGAATCATTAGAAGATACAGATATAAATGCTTTAGTTTGTTATTATATTGAAATCAAGATATGGAATTATTTGCTGTGATTCAATCAATATAACTCCTGCTTCGAGTAGTGTGTAATGTTAAAATTTGATCAGAATTGCGTCATTGCACGTAAAATTCACCATTATTTATCTTATTTGGCTTGATAAATTTTATGTCTGTCGAGTTTATCAATTTTCTACATTTTTCACGTGTGTCAGAAGCGATAATATTTTATTTGAAATTACCGATAAATTCGATACGTGCGTTTATTTACAATACAACTTAGTCCTTACGAAACAAGACGTGCGTTTCTTTCGAATTACCGTTCGCGAAACAAAACATTTTCCTTTTTTCTCTCTTGTCTAAACGTCGTAATTTTCATTCGCGATTGATTCTACGCGAATCGCGTCTCACGTACATTCTCGGAACGTTGCAATTTATCGTGTTTGCTTCTTTTTGAGATAAAAATCTCATCTCTTGAACGCGACCATATACGCGCTTCTTTGTCTCGCCATTTCTTTTCCTTAAATCCCATCGAAATTAATGGAAGAGAAAAGATAAACAAAGAGGAAGAAAAAGCGACAAAATATTGTGAAAAAAGAAACTTGTCCTGGATGCTGAGGAGACTGGACATTGGACGGATGCAGAGTCACAGGAGTCAACGAAAGTGGGTGAGTGTGCGGATCAAACGCTCAGAAAGCGTCATGTTTTATAATGCATGCTCATATATAAATCGCATTGGTTTTCGGGTTTAGAGATAATAAAAAATAGTGCGCGATATTATGCGTTCGTATCTAGTTTAATAAAAATATGAATTGCGAGAAGCACTGTTTGCTTCCTCTCTAATCATTGCGGAAATATTTATTCTGCGAAAAATTATACGCGGAACCTTGAGAGTGATAATCGATAAGACATATATTTGACGAATGGAAAACCATACTGATTGCACTGAAGCTGGCTTTCTTTTGCAACACTTCATACGAATATTAATCTGATATTTTGTGCACAATATTTATGCGCAATGTCAATTTAAAAAATTCAACGAATCACCGCGACAATTCCTCATTTCTAACGGTCGCAAGATATGAACAAATTGATGGTAATTTTTCTTTTATAAACATATACGCACACATTGACTTTCCTTGAGTAATTGGTTCGATAAATATTGAAGCGATGATGAAATTACGGTCAGACAGCTCTACATTTATATGCTTTCGACGTCGAATCAATCCGAATACCGACATTAGTTTTCGATGTGGACTCGACTCGTCGTATGAACCAAATGATTCTGAGTGAGTAAAGGAGTTTTAATCTGAAATCAAACGTGAGAAGAATTCAATAAGATAACTCAACAACGACTTGACTATTAATCATTAATGAAATCTTGATATCTACGCTGCATGACTTACTAGGACCTGATTGTATCACTTTATCCGGACCTGATGTCCAAATGAGGTCATATTAATTACGCGATTTCTGCCGCGTCGACTTTTGAAGATATCAATCATGTCGTTGTAGTTAAAAGCCTGCGATTGTGATTGTGTTTTGTGATTGCTTTTACCACTCGACTGCTACGTACAGTCGAACTGTCAATTGCCGATTAGGCAGTGATATCAGGTATTGTGAGTCAAAAACATTTGGTAGGAGCTCTGATAAGCTTAGAACCCTTCTCCTTTCTTATTTGTTATTACGATTATCATTATTATTTTCATATTCATATATGGGGTCTCCATTAAAAATTTTAAAGTTAGCCCTGTTTCACTCACGCAATCAAGTCTGAGAGATTAATCCCCATTCCAGTTAGAAGGCCTTTCGAATTCATACAATACAAGACTTGAACTTTTAAAATTGATGAGAAATAGTTTCCGGGATATCGAGCTATAAAAAGTTATGTGAGACAGTTCTACAAAGCCTGAGCAGATGTTTTCGATGGTTTCGTTCTTATGTACGTAAAATAGTCTTCTCGCAAACGTTAGATGGAAAATATTTGACAGGAGACATTACATTATGCCTAAACTGTGACTTCTATATTATCTATCTTAGCGTTTACAATTAAAATTTTCTCTCTCTCTCTCTCTCTCTCTCTCTCTCTTTCTCTTTCTCTCTCTTTCTCTTTCTCTCTCTTTCTCTTTCTCGAAAAGAATAATTTTTTCGAGCACGGACGGACGGTTCGTCGCAATAACGATTCGTCGCTAAGGCTGAAGGGTGAGTCGGGAACAACGGAACAGAGTGTCGGAGACGTTCCGCACGTGAAATTTGCAAGGAAAAATATTAGCGTTGCGATACGTCGCGGATGCAGGCGATGGAGAATCGTTTGTACCCGTTTGTACCACTTTGCACTTCGTTTGTAACTCAACCGATTCGGAAATACAGCATTTCTTCGGCTTTCAAAATAACGCTAAAATGGTACTTCCGCTATCAAGTAGCGTGAGAGTTCCTCGTGTCTGATTTCAAATAATGAATGTAACGTTCGCGCAGTCACGCCGGTCGCTCGACTGGCCAACCAACCGGCGTGGCAGAAAACGGACAGTCGCGCTCGTTAGTGGATACGTAGCTGTGAAATCTGCATGAGGATTCTTAGCGAAAGTGGAAGCAGGAATAAATGTTTAAATGTCAAGAGAGAAAGAGAGAGAGAGAGAGAGAGAGAGAGAGAGAGAGAGAGAGAGAGAGAGAGAGAGAGAAAGAGAGAGAGGAAGAGAGAGAGAGAGAGACATAGCCATGACGCGGAAAATATCTCTCGCGTTTCGGACATTTAAAAACCGAATCGCTGTTACAGACGTGGCACGTTTCACGTAATATCGATACATTTCATTTGCAATTAATCATAAGGGACAAAAACATATCACATTTTCGTCGGTTAAATACGCGTTTGATATGTGATTACTTGGATAATATTGTTACTCTCTGAATAAAATTATTAAAATTTTAGGAATGAAATGTCATGAAAAACGAACGAAAATTCATTGGGAGCGATAGTGAAAATAACACGGATACATATGACGTTTTCCACGTGATATCGATGAATAATTTTGTTTGTAATTGATCATGCGACAAAATCGTATCGCGTTTTCGCTGATTAAATACATTTTTTATATGCGCAAGAGATTACTTGGATAATATTGTTACTCTCTGAATTAAATCACTCACTTTAGTCCTCGGAGTGAAGCGTCATTAAAAACGAATGAAAATGCACTCGAAGCGATAATGAAAATAAACATGGATACATATGTGCTCTTAAAATTTTTTTAAATAAAATTTTACTCGGGGGTGAAAATTTGTCCGAAACGATTAAGCGAAAATATTATCGTGTAGACTGGCAATTCTCGAAAATAGAATCAATGTATTCTTCATTGAAATATCTGTAACTGGTGATTCAATTATAAGCATAATTGTAAGATTAAACGAACTTACCAAGTGAAGTTCTTAATTATCTTAATTATGCCTGGTGTCTCGTCCGGCATACAATAGCGCCGTGACTTTTGTTAACTTGCTTTTTGGAAATTTTAAAACCATCAAATTAACCAAATTCAGGGCGCTATTGGAACAATATATTCTTGAGACTAAATAGAGTAAAACAGTTTTGTACCACTTTTTCTTCTGATAAATAGTTAGCGAGATATCGTGAGTTAAATATTGAAAAAGTTATCAGGTTTTCCTTAAATATCTCAAAAAATATTAGGTAAATGAAAAAATGTTTCAGACAAAAGTTATTCAAATTAATTGCTAGGAAAGGGTGATGTAATAAAAAATTTGGGTATCCGTTTAAGATTTTTATGTTGATCTTAACTGGATTTTTCAAGGTTATGCGAAAGTCAAATTCAAAGCGTCAGTAAATAGATCCTTTGAAGCCCTACAACTTTTGTCTGAAATATTTTTTTCTAAAGTGTCACATTAACGAAAAAATTAGGTGGCCCGGGTGGTCTGAAACATCCGGTATATTTCCCATGGTTTTTATATCCGTTTGTCCATTTTCAATTATTACAAACAAACAAAGTTGGAACAAACGATTAGAAAAGAAATACTTAATTTTTTAGAAAATATTTAAAATTAGTGGTTAGAAATTTTTCTGAATATTCTTCGTATATCAAAATACAATACATACTTTTCCCGAATTTTTTGCATGCTAGATTTTGTTTATAAACAAATTACTTGAGTGAATTTTGTAAATCTAACGTGAAACTTGTAATTAACAATCTGAAAAATCTTTATATCGTATCTGATTAACATTTATTCAAACTTATTCTAATTTATTCCTATATGATAGCCATATTCTAACTGTTCTGAATTTTTGAAATCTGTCTTCAAATTTGTAATTAGCGACTCAAAAACATAGAAATGTATGATTTCATAGAAATCTATCAAATGGAAAAAAAAATGTGCCACACAAATAGTTAAAATGAATAGATGAAGCACCTTTCGGGTGTCCCATATTTTTGTCACACGAAAGATCGCACCTGGTTTGATATCTCAATAATTACCGTGGTAATTTCTAAAATGGTAGAGATTTCCTCTATTTAGTTTAACGAGTTCTGCTTGTATACGAGCGTTCGACACCTAAATCCAGACTTCCGGTATTAAATATTCGCACTTAATCTGATAGTTTAGACTTCCGCGATATAGGGAAATATTTAATTTGATTTCCGGGTTAAAGTACTACATTCATCCTGGATTTGTTTCCTACGAGTTATGGACATTCTTCGTAAACTTCTTCAGGGAGAAGAACAGCCTGTGTTGAAATTGTTTAACCTCAAAAAGTTTGTTTCTCTCCCTGAAGAAGTAACCTGGAATGTT